CTCTGGGCGGTCAAAATTCTCACTACCAGTCTTACGTGCATCAGATAGTAAGTCTATAAGTTGCGTCAAGCACGAAAACGTTTGAGGCGCCTTTGGTCTCATCTGATCTTGTAGCAAGCTGAAAAGCGCTCCGGGTGAGTTGTACCCTAGGTATCTTGCCATTACTACGGTGTCTCTGACAATCGACGATAGGTATCTTGGAACTAATACGAATGAGAGGAATGCCAAGTTTGAGTGAGTACTACAACTTAACAATCACTGTGCCGGGCGTTTACGAAAGACTAGTCATCTCACCAGCCCGTCCGGGAAAAACATTGCGCAATGGAGGATGAGTTATTGCGCAATGCAGGATGAATTATTGCGCAATGGGCGACAATTGCCAGTCCAACTCCACTTTCAGTGTCTCTTATCCAACGCGCCCAGGCCAACACACAGATATAAAATATCTCTCCGGATCCGACGCACATCACTTCCACCTCTACCTCGAACTCGAAATCTCAGCCGCTGAACACGTTACAAACATGCTTCAGCTACTCGATCTACCGATAGAGATCGTCCAGCGCGTCTTCAACACACTAGCCAGAAAGCATGGTATACCAGCAGCGTGGTTGGCTCGAGGAACCTGCAGTAAGTACCCAACAATACAACAACCGCACACATGACATCCCAAGCTGACAGACTGCGACATTAGCCTCGTTCCGCGATTACATCACGTACGACATTCTCGCCAATCCAGCCCTCAACGCCTACCTCAAGACGCCTGCCGGCCGCAAGATCCTCAAGGAGTACCTCGCCGACTTCCTCTTCGTGCGAAGCAAGAAGCTCAACGGCTTCGCACGCAGCCATGTGACGGACTTCATCCGCGCTATCCTGCGAGCGATGACTCCATGGATCGCCAACGACACTGAAGAGGCTGCACTTAGGAGGGCGCTGTGTGAACTGTTTGTTCGCAACCACAGCGACGCGTTCAGATGCGTTACCACTGACTTCAACAAATTGGGATACTACATGCCGAACACCATCCGGGTCACTGATACTGCCCTGATTGCTGCAGCCGCCGCAACCGGAAAGCTCGACGCGTTGAAGCACTTCGTCGGCGCTAACAAGTGTCTTCTGTGGACGCAGTCACTAGCTTTTGGTTACCCACTTGATGCTGCGGTGTATGCGGGCCAAGAAGTTGCCACCAAGGCACTGGTACAGCAAGCCATCACCAATCAGGACCGAGACGTCGCTGGATACTCCTACACCGAGCATGTCTCCTTCCGCCAAGCCATCTGCACTACCATCGAACTGGAAGACCACCCCATGACGAAGACGAAATACCTCCTGGCCAAGTACATCACCGCGTTCGGCTCAGCAACCGAAGCCTGCATGAAAGCCTGGCTGGACAAGGCTATCCAAACCAACAAAGAAGAATTACTCAAGCTACTTCTTGCTTTGCCTTCGCAAACCGGTCCATCAACCATCTACGCCGCTTTCGAAACTGCATGCCGTCTTTCGAAGCCAGATCTCCTGCATCTACTCTTCGGTCCTCAGATCGGTCAAACTACCCTAGCCATCAACCAGATCCAAGGCTCCACATACGCCCTCCTCACCGCCGTCAACTTATGCACAACACCAGCCGCTGGCATCTTCATCAAGTCGCTGCTGGAACTAGGCGCCGATCCCAACGGTCCCGCGTACCTAGCCGGTGTCGAGCGGCCTCTCCAAGCAGCGATGCGTTACGGTCGTAGCATCGCTTGTCTGGTCTTACTTGAAGCTGGTGCTAATCCGCATTTGGTCACACCTGGAAGTTTGGCGTGGGTTGAGAGTGTGAAGAAGAGGTACCGGGAGGATACGAGGGCGGGTAGGGTGTTCAGGGAAGCGCTTGAGGTTTGCGAGGTGCCTAAGGTAGCGAGGGACGAGGACTTTCTTGTTGAGGTGGATGAGGCGGGTGGGGACGTGGAGGTTGAGGGTGGTGAGGAGGTGGAGGTAGGGGATGCCTAGGAGGATATGTTATGTTGGGGATATGCCCTACTTTCGCTCTAAGAGTAGCATAGACTGCAGGGCATCGTGGACGTCACTAGATAGCCTTATGCTGTAGCAATGTAAGAGGTATGCAAACTTGTGCTTTTAGTAAAATGCGAGGAATCACCGTCCTCAGTTGATCGCATTAAGACAAGATAAGATGAAAGTGACTCATGACGAGAAGGGTGTGCGCCGTGGGAGTACGGCAAGAGGAACGAAGAGAGGACGTGGAAGGAGAGTTTCGATATGGTGGGGCTTCCGCGGAGGTGACGAGCCCGATCATCGGCGTTTGTAGGCCGGTGTTTTGATGTTGTCTGCAGGGCGTAATTCTCAGGGGTCGTTTGTAGTTGAATCCGTCGCGCACGATCCCGGCTTCCCGTGTGGCGCGAAGTTTGCTGCAACCTCATGAATGGGATGCCGCATTCGGAGCGGCACTGCCCGTTCGCCGCGCCGACACTCCTCCAGCTTTTCCTGCTCAATCCTTTCTCCAAAGACACCTGAGTACTTCCAATCTTGCAGTGACGGATGATTACCTGTTGTTACCAACACGCACCCATGTTGCGGTGCGCGTCGCCACCGGTGCACGGCCGCTACCAAGATACCATCCAATGCGCACGCCGTCCCAGCCGTCCTTCAGTCACAAGCCTCCCAGAAGGATGGAGTCGCGTCGCCCCGTGATGAATTCTGGTCTCCTGTATGGTCGCATAATATAAACTTATGTCACTTGACATGGTTCCAACACGATCAGCATCCTCATTCGGCAACGACAATCATTTTTACGTATACTCAGCTCTCCAGGCGGACTACCCAATACCAATATCTTGAAGTCCTGGCTTATATCATGCCCATATTCGAAGCTAGTAAAAGAGACCGGCGCACCAACAGGATGTACGCCCTGCAGACAGTCCTGGTTACATTCTAACGAGGACTAAGGTCGTAGTTGCTTTGGACGGCCATACAGGCTATCGCTGGTTCATCCTCAACCTCGCCACTCGCAATCTTGCGTTTCAACTCCGCCCTTTCCTCGCTGTGCTTCCTCATCTCTTCGTCACGCTCGTTCTTGGTGCCGAAGGTTGGAATCAGCCCTGCAGGGGGGTTCATCCACTGCCTACAATCGCAGCATCATGTCAGCCTATGCTCCACATGCTCAATCAGTGTGCGATGAAAGGTGTGACTTACTCCTGTGGAACCGTTCTACCATCAACCCCGCGAAATCTGTCCTCTTTCTCTTGACTCCATGGACCTCTGTCCAACCATGATTTGATCAGTTCTGGCGACATGGGCTTTGCGTCAAAGACGTTGGTTTGAGTGACCTCGTCGGGCGGCCCGGGTAGGTATTCGATGACTCTCATCACACCGTCTCTGCAGATCATGTGGAAGTGATTCGCGTTCTCGCATTCTCGCATAGAGTCGATGAAGATCTCCAGCGGGTCTGTCTTGACTCTTGCTTCGGTAGAAGCGGCGGCCTTCTCCATGCCGCCTTCGTGTTGACTCGGGTCTGCGGTTGAAGGTTCCTCGTTGTTGGCGTTGAATCCTTCCTGGTTCCGCGGCATTGGCGATGACGACGAGGACATTGTTGATTTGTGTACAGTGGGAAAGAGGATTCAGGCGAGTAGCACTAGATTCAGGTGTTATTAAATGCAACCTCGGGTAGAGGGTTAAATAGAGTGGTGGCAGCAGGCGACGCGGTGTCTGCAAGAAGAGGATGCAGTGCGCAAAGGTTGAGATGCGGGGCGTACTTATAGACGGCACACCTAGGCAGTGCTGACCAACAGCATCCTGCATGACGCAGCATTGCGATCTACCAGCCTCGCAGTTGTGTGAGTATGCGCCAACATTTACATCGACAACTTGGAAGGATCGAGAAGAGACTCAGCAGTGGCCTATAAAGCCTCTACTTTTCGCCAGCAACATGAACATCCTCCCAGCAAGGCATACTTCAGTACACTACTCTAAAAAACGCCTCTTTTATCATACACCGAACTCGACATGAGGTTCTCGTTCTTCGTTTCCACCAGTGCGGCCATTCTGCTAGCAGCAGCAGCGCCTACTGAAGATGTGGTAGCTACACCTAAGGGCCACATCCAAACAAAACTTTATTGACATCAAAATACTAGTCGCTCGATGAAGCACTCAGGAACTTCGATTACGGCGAGATGATGGATCTTGGACGCGATGGAGTGCTTCGAAGCTTGAACGCAGCCCACGACACTGTATTGGACTTTGTCCAGCTCAGTGCGCCGCAGATCACGGAGTTTTTCGCTAAAACAGGCTCCGACCCGTCCGTCATGTCAGGCGTGTACGTTTGATCTTTTTAGACACTCTATCAGTAGATTTGGAAAATGAAACTAATCACTAGTGTAGCGATGGGCGCACCGTGACATCTGACGCTCAGCTATGGGCCGTCCCTGACGACATCGTCGCACGTGAGCCGACCGCCAGAACATCGGAGGCAAAGTTACCAGGGGTGCTGTCCGTGCACCAGAGGGCGGAATGCGTAGCGGGAGCGCCCTGTGATGAGACAGCTGATTGCTACGAATACAATTGCGCCCGCTGTCTTCGTGGGCCGATGTGCATTGGAGGTCCATCAGGCTGCCTCAATCAGAGCGGCAAGTGCGCATGGAACAGATGAGGACTGCCTCTTCTACCGTTGACTCAGCTTTTGGAAATCAAGGCTCAAGCCTATCACACTCGTTAGAATACACTTAAAATGAAGATGTTCTCAGAGCATACAGATTTCTTGTTTGCGCGATATCTCATGTGACTGCGTGGATGGTTTGACAAACATCGCACGACTCGACCAAATGAATACTTAAGGCTACACTCTGACTCCAGGCTTCTACTACTTTTCATTGTACACAAGCGCCCTATATATCTGCCCTTTCCGCTTCTCTGCTTGGATCACAGACTTCTGCCCAACAACACTTTTCTATACCTGGTTTATTAACAACTTCAATCTACCACAACTACTTCTTCGAAACACGCAATCAGCCATGTCGTCTACAGTACTAGTCAGCGACCTTCCTTCCAACTGCGAGTCCTCCTACGTCTTCACCGAGCTACGTTTGCAAGAAGACGAAGTCGAAGAAGTCTACACTCGAGCGAGAGGAGGCGAGTCCGCCTGGATAGTCTTCAAGTCCCGCGAGCTCGCCAAGGTATTCGAGAGTGACCACAAAGGCTACCACTTCGGGGCAACCGGCAAGAAGATCGCGACTAGCTTCTGGACCGAAGCCATTCCCGAACACGCCAGCAATCGCTATTCCGACTTCGTCCGCGCCCGTGATCACCAGATAGACTCGCGCACCGTTGAGATTACCGGTCTTCCCGCAAAACACACTCTGAGTGACATGAACAAGTTGCTAGAGTCGGTGCGAGATCAGTACGTTGAGGCCACCAAGCAGAATCAACATCTGAACCCGACCGACTACGGCTACTACGAGCCCATCAACATCCTTCAAGTCAAAACACCGGACCCCGGAGTCGGCCTTTTGCAGCTCGCGCAGCCGTGGATGGCGGTCGAGATTGTACGCCAGTACGCGGGTACTTACTGGAAGAACGCCACGCTCAACGCTCGGTGCGTTCCCGATGAAGAGATGGATAAATTGCTTGTCAATGAGCCCAGCGCCACTGACGTATCGCTCTTCGTCAAGGGCATCAAGGTCGGTACGTCATCGAAGGAGGTTCGAGAGATCTTCAAGGACTTTCCCATTCGAGACGTCAACATACTACCAGGCGGTAAGACGTTCTGCTTCGTCACCGTCCAGCAAGCACACGCAGACTCGATCCTCGCGCAGTTCAAGAATGGCGTCAAGTGGCAAGGTCGCACTATCAAGGTCGACTTATCGGATAAGGACAAGAGGAAGAAGAAGGCTGCGTTTGGTTCTGCCGGCGCCACTCCCTTTACTACGCCAGCTCCTCTACCACCTACGGATACCACGGACTTGAAACTGGAAAACCTGCCATACGACGTCACAAACCACAAAATCCTCACCCTGTTCGAGGGCTTCGCTGTCTACAAGGTCGTCATCAAGCAGGGCTATGCTTTTGTGGGTATTCCGACGGGGCAAGTCGGCCGCGCGCTCGACAAGCTGAACGAAACCATGATCGGGGCACAATACATCAAGGCCAAGGTTGCTGATCCCCGGAAGAAGTAGGGCTGCAGGTCTGGTTCGGTGCTGCGAAGGCGTCAAAGGGGTTTACGAGATGTCGGAAGCGGGTCGTTGCGTGTCTTGTATCTGTCAGCTGGTACGTTGGTGGGTACTCTAGAAAGGTTAGAAGGCTTGTAGGCGCTTAACTGTGGTAAGCTCTTGTGTTAATAATACTTCTCTTTTCGAGAGGACCTGATTGGATAGGTGCATATAGAATTCGGAAGTTGTGAGTCGCTCGTCTGCGTCGCGTCACCGCAGTACCATGGGACGATTGACTGTGGTAATGAAATACTTCCGAATAAATTCACTGCAATGTTGCCCTCGTGATGGATGGTGCCTAAAGTTACACTGACCATTCCTTGCATGAGCATGCTCGAGCTTCTATAACTCTAGCGTGTTGCGTCCCAAAAACACTTGCTGCTAAGCTCAACAAACGACCAAGCCGAACGCTCAAAGCTCAACCATGACAGATTACACCTACTACAGTTCATCCGCATCTAAAGGCTTCACCTTTCTGATACCATACCATGTCCAAGCCAAGTTTGTCGCGATCACGAAGAAACTACCTCCCACCGCGCGCCCAGTATACCGCGAATATTTTGGCGACATCATGGCATGTCGAGATCGAGCTCGAAACTCGGCCGAGGAAATGCAAGCGTTCGTGAACGATAGCTTTCCGCGTATTTCGAAGGATCATAACCGACTAGCGAATCTGATGAATGCGGAAATCGACAAGCAAAGGAAGAATGTGTTGGTCAAGATACCAATCACAGGCGATGGGACGGCGGCTGAAGACGATGAGGACGAACCGGTAGCGCAGGCGCATAAGAAAAAGCAGAGTGTCGCTACCCCAGGCAAAAAGGTAACACCGGATGCTGTGTCAGAGGTTTCTGCGGAGGCTGCAGTGCGCGAAGAGTCCCCTGAAGCAGCTTTCCCCCCGACTATGGCGAATGCGGAGCTTGTTCGGCCAGCTCTGCGTCAGGGTCCTGCGACATCGTCGGCTTCTCCAACCGGTATAAGCAGCGAACAATCCGAGGTAGACGAGGAAGACAGCGAGATGAGCGTGATATTTGTCGACACATCAGAGCCTTGGAAAGATTCGCTTTGGCCACACGGCGCCTGGGTCGATGGTCTAGAAGTCATCGATGCGCTTCCATGGGCGCGCCCAAAACCGACCTAAACGCATCGCTCGGATCGCCACCTTCCCGTATGAAGCCACACCACCCGTACTTAATCCTCGTTTCTCTTTATGCCTGCCTTTATGTCCCAGAAACAGGTGACCTGCAGCTTTCCGCGGCCGACGCACTCAGGGTTGTCGCAGTGGAAGCGCGAACATCGTTCTCGGTAGCGGAAGTCGATGTTGTTGAGGCAGTACATGCACGGCCATAAGTCGACGTAGGGGAAGGTGGCCTTGATCTCGTACGTAGCGTTCCTGCGTTGAGTCAGATTAGAAAGCGTTTAGAAATGACACGTTAGCGATCACCTCCACTTTTGGATGTCTTCTCGCGTCAGGTTGTGCGATGCCGGAGGGTCTTCTTGTCTGAGGGTCGGGGTATCGCTTCGTTGGGCTGTTGAAGCGCCTGCCTTCGTGGGTGCTGGAGCGCTTTGCTCATCGGATTGCCGAAGCTCACTGCTTCTCCGACGATTCTCGCGTCTCAGTCGTTGGGCGTTCATGTCTTGTGGTTGTTGGGTTTCCTGAGCGCTCGGTTTTGGGGCGTTACCGTATCCGAACAGCGGCATGGTTATCGTCGTGCGATATTCGCAATAGAGAATAAAGAGTCGTGGGTTAGTCAAGGAAGTCAAAGAACTTGTCAGCTGTTCAGTGAACGAAGCTTTGTGTGACGATATTCACTCGCGTAGCGCGTGGCATCAACCACGTAACGGTAAACTCTGGATTGTGAATATGTTCGGTCGTCGCACGGTTCGGAAAGACATGATGACGCATAATGTACCAAATCTCCCATGGCAAACTGCACATGACCTGATCTAATGCTGATTTCCAAATCATTGTGATCACGAGGCGTATATATTCTTTGCTGGTATAGTGAATCAGCAAATGCCACTTTGCTGGGTATCGTTCGCATCTCCATGGGTTTGCCTGGCTCCCCAGTACAGGTCCAGTACAGCATGGTGAGTGCGGAATGGCTGACGAGAACTTGAAATCTTGCAGTCGCCTTCCCAGCTGGGGCACAAACTTTTTCACACGGAGAAAGGCACCTGCTGTGAGCGGTATCTTGACCTAGGCGACATTTGCGCCGGTGGCGGCCACCGCGGTGCGCCTAGCTGCATCTGTGGAAACCAGGACTGTAATGCGGATCGCTTTCGTCAAGATTTGGAGATGGATTCAAGCTCGATAGAAATCGCGATGGTGAGCTGATGTATTTTTCGCACAGGTGGAAGGTTGCGAGATTGTTGCCGTCGTCGCGCAAGATCAAGCCGCACCAAGACGCCATGACCACCGCGTCGGCCGAGACTTCTCCGACCGCCGACGCCGACGGAACTTCAACCACCCACAGGCAAACGTCCATTTCCCGACATCCACGACGAGAGATCTGTACACTATGGCGTCTCACCCTTCGTCGACTCCCAGGCCCTCAAAAAAAATACATACTCGCGACTTCTTCAACCGACGTAATTGACACGTCGCATTAAAGAGCCGGAAAGCTGCGGTTCTCACACCCGACGCGCGTGTAACCAGTCATCTGAAGAGCACCCATGCTTCAAGATGATGCGCATGCTGGTGCTTTCAAAATGGACCTGGTGATGAATACGCGTAACGATGTGAGCGCCGGAATCAATATTGTAAAGAGGATGTATCCTGAAACTATGTGATGCGTCTGCATTCGTGATATCAGCGTGTGCCGATGTTCTGGACTGTCGGTGTGCGACGACGAATGAGGGCGCTTACGCCGCAACGACGGGTAACGAGACGAAGATGAGTTGGGTTGCGGAGGCGGCTTGGGTGATGCTGCTGAGAGTGCACCTTGGACTGACCCAGATCGTTATCTATTTGCGAAGAGATGGTATGCAGGCAATGCGCGAGAGAGTACGTTGGCAATCCCATGCTGGGCGAAACGGCAGCCTGGCATCACTCAGAGGTGTCTGCGCCGCCATTATACAGCGGTCACCATATCCAAGACCACCTCAGATGCTCGAATTCGGTATCGCACTTCTTCATTTCACTATTACGATGCGGCGGATGATATCACAATAGGAAGCAGAGTTCATTGTCGATGCTGGGCACGTTTAGCGCCGTATATACTCCCCGACCTCTCACTCCCAGGTCCTCCGCCATCCGCTTCACTTCCATAGCTACTCTACTCTAGAATGGCCACGATGACACACCGCCAACAGCGAAAGACGACCACGACGGCTAAGCTAGGGAATCTAGACGTTCTCCTTATCGCTCTACGAGCTGACCTCGGCCCCGACTGGGGATGCTACAAGGAACTCATAGAGGGGGCTGCAGATGCGAAGGCAAACGGCGAGAATGTTTCCGCCTGGGTCGACCAAATCGAGCCGCTCGTGCGAAACACCGCTTCGCAATTCGCGCATCAGGGAGTGCTGTTTCTGTTAGGCATCAAGGTGGGTAGTGAAGGTGAGATGTCTTTCCTTATCTAGCACCTTCACGTCAAAACTAAACTCTCTCAGCTTCTTCTGTGACCAAGACCACCGACAAGACCAACGACATGTCCGCTCCACCTCCTGACACTCGACGCCCAGCGCAACCAGTACGGCCCTCAACCAACATGCAGTCCGCTCCACCTCCTGACACCCAACGCCCGCCACTGCCAGTGCAACCCTCAGTCAACGTGCAGTCCGCTCCACCTCCTGACATCCGACGCCCAGCGCAAGCAGCACAGCCCTCAGCCAACATGCAGAGCAACTTCAACCCCACCTGGACGCCCATACCCTCACCCAGTTCAAGCAGCTACATACCGCCAACACCCACCTCCGTCGCATCCAAAAAACGCTCAGCCGCCAACGTAGCCTTCCAGGGTCAGAAGCAGGCCACCGCGACACAGCCTCTCAAATCCGACTGGTTCGGCGGTTACGTCCTTCACCAAGACCCAGCCTTTCGGCGCGACGTATTCGAGTTCTTTGGACACGAGGTACCTGACAAGCCCGATCCAAAGCACCACGATCAATCCGATGTATCGTCCGTGTACAAGGCTGCGGATGACGATCTTGCGGTTTGGAGGGCGGGCGCTGGGGCTGAGGGCGAAGTGAAGGACGGCGCTCAGGAGGGTCAGAAGGACATGATCAAGAGCGTGGAGGATGCGAAGCGGGAGCGTGTGCGAGAAGGCTTGCGCTTTAAGCTTTTCGACAAGTTGGATTGATATTGGGTAGTGGTGAGGGGGCCGCTCTTGGAGTCAGGCGTCTGCGGGGGCTGAGCTGGTGCGGAGACCAGCGACGTACGATGTTATGGAAGGGCAGATGGAGGACTTTTGGAGCGTGCGATACATGGTTGGGCTGGCAGGGAAGGCGTTTGGCGTCGCTAAAGGATGGATGATACCCGGAAGACTTGTGAATGATACTATGAAGAAACACGCCTCCCCTTCTACGTTCATCTATTGATATCCTCTAGCTATTGAATGAACGTGTCCAAATCATGTCTCCCTATATCTCCTCCAATGAATGAATATGCCTAAATTACATCCCTCTGTACTCCCTCTAATAAACGAATGTGTCTTTGTGTTATTCGGTCGTACTACTCATCTCGCAACCCCAAGATTCTTTCCCAGCCCCGCAGCCCTGCGTGCTTCTACAGCATCCATCCCGTTCCATACAGAACACGTACGACTATGTCACAGTGTAATGACCTTGATCGTTGTTGCACGATGCCAATCCCAGTCTCTCTTGCAACTTCCCTTCAGCGTTCAACGACCCGTCAGGGATCTGAAGCTCAAAGGGCTGACCGTTATCACAGCAGTTCCATTATTCTCAGTGTAGGTAACCTATCCCTACACATTTCCGGTAGTATGGGAATAGTTATCTCTTCGAAGGCTTTCTTAGAAGAAACGCGTAAAACTGCGATCTCAAGTGTACCGAGCTGGAAGATGTATTAGAAATCGATAACATTTGGTTCTTTTTGTAGAAGTTCTAAAGACCTCGGTGGGTATCCATGATAAACGCCAGTGAACCCTTGTAATGCGAAATGACCATACTCCTAGTAATGCGAGGAACCCGAGCACTACTCATCGGGTTGCCGTATGCTCGCTGGTAACGCGACGATTCTCTTCCGCTCGATGATGATGATGCGTTGATGGCTCTCCATGGCTTCCAAGACACGTCGTTGACCCAGCCGCAGTATAACTGCTCGTATGCCTTGCGTATCCATCGCGACCGCTGCCATCCGCAATCTTAGTCCCATAACACCATTGCAGCAGCAGCCATCCATCGAACCCCTGAACTTCATCCACTCCGCACGGTACTAGCATCATCCCCACCCCCATCAACCTTCTTCTTCTTTTTCTTCTTCTTCGGCTCCTCCCCTCCTCCTCCACCATCCCCCTCCCCACCATCAACCTTCTTCCTCGGCCTCCCCAACTTCCCCCCATTACCACCCCCTCCTCCTCCCCCACTACCACCACCCTCCCCATCCCCCCCAGCACCATCCTTCTCCACAAGCACCGCCCCCTCATCAGTATCAAACGCCTTCCTCTTCCTCTTCAACTCCTTATCCGTCTCCAGCATCTCGCTTACCCTACCCAATTTCCCCGTATCCCTCCTCAGCATGAACTTGAAGTCGTCGAGCTTGATTTTGGCGCGCCGGGCGTGGTGCGCGACGGACGCGGCTTCGTGGCAGGTTTCGATGATGTAGTCGGTTATGATTTCGTCGAGGACGCGCATGGTTTCTGGGAGGGGGTAGTCGTTGTCGCCGAAGGCGAGGAGGAAGGCTTCTACTGGGGATGGGTTAATATGATTGGAAGGTGGTTTGGGTGGTGGAGATGATTATAAGGTTTGGGGGTTTGGGGTGGATGGGTGCGCATTGAGGGTGCTGATGGATCGGGGTATGGGGACTTACAGTCTTGCGTAGGGAACTGCTGGCCTTTTTGCCGCAGGCGCATACGTGGCTCTGTCATGGTGTTGTGTGTCTGGCGCTCTTTGTCGTTGTTCGACTGCCTCGTTCTCTCTCAGCGCTTCTCTTGCTCGTTCCTTCGTCGCCGCTATCCGTGACAATCGCGTGTAAAACCTGCGCGCAACACCCGTATGATGTACTTGCGCAGTGCCGTAATAGTCGTTTTTCGATGGTTGAGGTGAAGTCGCGACAAGTCTCCAGGGCTGCGTCGCGCTTGTTCCAGCGACGATAGCTAGCGCGCTGCGCGAGCTGCAATGACGATCCCACATGCGGCAGCCGGGAGTGCGCACAGACGCCTTTGTCCGCGGGCGCAACCAATGTTCACAACTACAGTAAAGCGACAATCTGGCCTGAAGCGCGCGCTTTCACTAGGCAGCAACCTTTTACCTACCCTCTCTGACTACGAGCGCATCTACGCTGAGATATACACGAAGACACCGATAGCGACGAACGCACACCATCCGACACCTATCCAAAACCACCACGATAAACACTCCGCCTTGACACCCACATCCACATCCATCACGATGGTCAGTCTCTCTCCCCCCCCTCTCCCACCCTCTCCCTCACTCCCTCTCCCCTTCTCCCCTTCTCCCTTTCTCCCTCCCTCACCCCCCCTCCCTCCCTCCCCATCCCCCTCTTCAT